ACGTGTGTGTTAGCTATTGTATTGATGGCTTTCTGAGCAGGTGCTGCTGCTGGCAGCAAAGTGGAGGAAATGCATCTCCAGCTTTTGTTATGTAGTGTGATCTTTTTATTGGATAACTTCAGCGGCATACTTTTTAATTGAATAGTTTAATTTCAATAAATAAAACCTGAGAAGCACAGAAGCAAACACAGAAAGCTGTTAGTCAGGGCCAGATCCTGCATGTATCAGTGCTGTGGGATAGGAAGATGCATCCATGTCTCTGAGTGGCTGTGTTCAAGTGTAAAGCTATCCATGCATATAAGCTGAACTCTAAGTCAGAGTTGGACTCTGAATTGTGGTTTGCATGTAAAGAATTTGACTTTTCCCATGTGTAAGGATGTTGAAATCTCAGAAGCTCCCTCAGTTCTGGTGATGGCCAGGATGGCTGAGGATCAGGGCTCTTGAAGAGGAGGAGATAATGTGAAATTTCTGAGTTGGGGACTTTGACCAGCAAAAACCAGATTTATTCATAGAATCATAGAGTCAGCAAGGTTGGAAAAGACCTTTAAGATCATCCAAGGCCATCGCTACACCATGTCGCGAAGGGCCTCATCTATGTGGTTTTTGAACAATATCAGGGATGGTGATTCCATCACTTCCCTTGGCAGTCTGTTCCAATGCCTGGCTACCCTTTCGATGAAGAATTTTTTCCTAATATCCAATCTAAACTTCCCTTTGTGCAGCTTGGGGCCGTTTCCTCTTGTCCTATCACTTGTTGCTTGGGAAAAGAGATCAGCCACCTCCTCACTCATTGGCACAGTGTGGGAAACACACAAAAATGCATGTCAGAACAGGGCAGGCTTTTAAGTGTTTTTCATTTAAAATGAAAAGGTCAGATTGAATGGGGTTGTCATCTGGAGACCTGTATGTGCACCTGCCAATCATATGGGGGGGGGACCCGTGTCAGTTCATGCTGATGGCTGACTTGCTGGAAGCTTGTCTGCGCTTAAAGATTGGTGACTAGAACAGTTAAAATGACAAGTTTCCCTGTGGCAGTCAGGCTGGGCCATCTGCTCCACAAAGGAATGGGCATGAAGAATCCCAGTGTGAGGCTGCTTTATCCCAGTTTGACTGGTGTTCACGCTTGGGTTTCTACAAGTAAAGCCATACTAATTAAAAAAAAATAAAGCAGTTAAAAAAGTTGAGCTCTGAATACTGGTAATACTTTTGAGTGTAAAGGAGATTTCAAAGTGAATGCAACTTTCGAGGAGTCAGAAAAGCAGATGCCTTTCAGCCAGGCTGTTATGTGAGAAGTGTAATTAGCACTTGACAATATTATTTTCATGGGTAAGATTTCCTTTTAAAGGGACTGGGGAGTCTGGCTATTTCAATTTCTAAGTGACCGCTGTAAAGTTATGCTAGGGCTGCCTGTTTTAATAAAAGTGCTGACTGTGCTTCTTCGAAACTTGGAGCTCTTGCAGAGGTTTTAAACTGTTCATTTCTGAAAAATCTGAGCAATATAAGAAAGCTTAAACCATAACAGAGGACTGGTATTTAAATTCAGGTATGTTAAACTACTGCATTTAGATTTAAATCTGTAAGCAGGAAACTTTGTTTTCCATACTCTAGTTTGATAATGCAGCATCAGTATTATCAGCCAATGAATAAACAGATTGTTTCTGATTGTCACGTCTTTAAGGATGTTAGAGTTTGTAGCTCTCAGTCTCTCATCTTACATACCTGTCAGCTTGTGATGGCATTTTTAACTTCTGATCACTTTCTCAGCTTTTTATGAACTGTGTATTAAATTAAAATAGTTGGAGGAAATAAATGAAGAAAACAATCTTCTGTGAAAGATGTACTCTTTCAGTAAATTCTGGTTCTGGTACTTTGTTCCAAGAATTTACTTACTGCTTTGACTGTGATAGCTGATTCCTGCTGTTTGGACACTTGCTTTAAATTACTTATAAATGATAAATTGCCTGTTGAAGTGGTGCATTAAAATAAGTGGTCTGTATTGTGCTAGGCATAAAAATGAAGATGCAGTTGTCTACACATAGGTGTGTATACAGGCTCTGAACTCTTGGCTGCTGTAGCTGGTGATTGGAAGGCACAAGGGTCATACTGAGTTATGCCAGACAGGAGCTTGGCAGTGTAAAGCTGTGTTACCAAAGAGACTTTCCTGCAGTTCTCCTGCAGGATTGTGATAGAAAGCTGGGATTTCTTGTTGCAAGATGAAGATCAGAATTAGCTGTGCACAGACTACTGAGCATCTGTTGCAGTGGCTCTAAACGAAGAGGACCTAAGTTTTGTAGAGCTAAAAACATGCCTGCTGTTCCTATTTCTGTTGTAAAAGCACCTGGATATTCCCCATAAGGGTTTCTGGGGGATGTATGAAACCCAGAGGTGTGACTCCTTAGGGACAAGTCTTTGCGTGTATTTCTCTGGGGACTTCAGTGGGGGAAAGACTTAGGCTGGAATTGATGGCAGTGATTTAGGTGTACCTGTACTGTGCACTCATGTGTCTTTCCCTACCTGAGCCAGAGCAGGAATGAACACAACTCTGAGGGACAGTCCCTTTTTTGGGACTTGCTGTTGTCTCTCAAGGTCTGTATCTTTTGCCTGCTTGCTCAGCAGAGCTGGTGCAGTTAAGGTATCACTGTTCTAATCCTCAGTGTAGCCCTCTCTGGTGTGAGGCTCTCAGGTGCTCCTTGCTGAGGGATGTGTGCAGGCAACTGAGAAGAGCGACTTTTGAGAGAGGAGCTCTGCTGATCTTGAGCTTTGGGGGGTCTAAATCTCAAGAAATGCTCTCCAGCGGGAAATGCTTGTTGAGATTATGTCTTGAAGAAGTCTGATTTGGTGGCGGCATCATGGCTTGATGGCTTATGATGAGCAGCAGCTCTTCTTGTACCTTGGGTCTGTCCTCTGCATGTGTCTCCTGGGGATTTCTGCTCTCAAAGACACAGACTGACTTTTGAAGCCTTCTGAAAAAGAAATGGGTTTGTAAATAGAGTGGTTTGATAGACCAGTTGAGGTAGATATTGCTGTGACCCGACAGGCTGTCCCTGTCCTTCCCAGCTGTGAATGTGTGGCCAGGAAGGAATGCACATCCTCAAGGAGGATATGTGGGGTCCTGGTTGACTTGCTGCAGAAACCCCAGTCACAAGGTGATGGGGACAGGGATGTGGAAAGTAAAGCCAGGAAGATGCAGTTCAACTAGCCAAGCCTGCCAGGTCCTGTAACTGATCTTGTAAACATTCTGAGTCGAACCTGGTGAAAGACAAGCCTAAGCCAAGATCTTGTAAACACGGGTTGAGTCCCAAGAAGTGCTTGTCTTACCTGGAGGTCCTGGAGTTGATGTGAGTTGAATTGAAATGGTGTTGGAACCAGAGGGGAATGTTCTTGTCTTCTGCCTTTGCAGATAAGACTGAAGGGCATTTTGCCAGGAGCCTGAAGGATCTAAATTGTATATAACTCTACATCATTTTAAAATGAAAAGTAAACATGCACAACCATAATATTTGCTTGTACTTGTCTCCTCTTTGACGAATGGAGAGAAATTGTTCTTTGGCTGAGTTCACCAGCAATAAAACCCTGCAGTTACTCATCTTTATCCCAAGCTTGCAGTGAACAGGAGAGACCATTATAATCTCTGGTTGAATTTGTCCTTATCACACCTGAGGGAAGCATTGATGCATGGGAACTTTTATACCTGCCCAGCCCTGTGAGGAATCAGGGCTAGGTGCCATCACAGGAACCATGGGACTGAGCTGGGAAAGTGCTGCCTGGGTCAGGGTGGACCTCATTGTGATCATACAGTGTTGGTGCAAAGGAGATCTACCCCTGCTTGGGAGAGGTGAGAGCCCTCCTTCTGTCCTGGCTACTGTAGCATCAGGCATGGTGTGGGGGGCAAGGGATGCTGGCAGGCGCAGGAAGCCACCATCTCAGGGTGTGACAAAGAGGAGGGATCTGGACTGTGAGCTGAGCCACCAGCATTCTTCTGCATTTTGCTGCATGTTGGTTCTGTGGGCTCACATACATGCTCATGAGCAGCCCAGGTGCAGTATACACAAGTCTGAACTGACCCATTTCCATCATTACAGCAGCAAACAGCAGTGGCTTTCTCTGCTTAGTGGTGATGACAAGGCAAGCCTGTGCTTGTCATGAGCAGAGATAGGGCTGTCAGAGTGACCAGGATGTGGCTGGGACGGGATGCTAGCTGTGGGCCAGCAGGGGCAGGAAGGAGTGTGTGATTCAGATGCTGCCTGTCTCGGTAGCTTGCCATGTGCAAAGACAGTGGTTGCATGGCATGACTGTCCCCTCTGCTCTGCCTTCATCTTCTGCAGAGGGGAAAAACGACCGCAAGTCAGTCACTTCAGGAAAGGGTCATGCCTGCTTTGCAGCTATAGGAAAGAGTGTGGCAGTCCCCAGTGGAAATAGGGCAGAGTTCCTCAGAGAAAAGGCTGTGCTAAAGTGTAGTGCTGGTGAAGTGGATTGTGGTATAGTGGTAGTGGTAAACCCACAAAATGAATTAAATGATGCCTCCTAGCCCCCTCTTTGTGCTTGAGGTCAGGTCCCTTGTTTTAAGCCTCATTTTATATCTCCTTTTACTTACCCATTCTCAGGGGCTTTAAGATCAGTAAAGGAGGTATGGGCTTGAGGAAATGCAAGTTGTTGGCTGGGCTGTGGTATCTGGTGCTGGTTGTTGGCCCAGTTTGAGGTGGTGATGCTTGCTTTTGGTGCGTGCAAGGGACTCCAGGAGTATGGAGGCTTCTGTATAAGAAAATTGGGGAGGAAAATGCTGCAGTGCCCAGAAGCTGTGTGGGTTAAACTGCAAGTTCTGGAGACAAGCCGTCAGGAGGCCCATCCAGTGTGCATCACATGGGTATCTCTCTCTCTTTGCAGGGCTGGGAAAGAAACCCAATCGTGACTCCTGTGGAGCCCTGCGCATCTCCAAAAGCCCTGCTCTGAGTTCATCCCACCAGCAAGGCGTGAGAACCGGTACGTAAACGTGTTTCACAGATGTGAGGGGCAACTTCCCAGAAGGATCTGTGGCTTTTCTGGTGGTGGCACCTTGTTCATGGTTCTCTGCCAAATGAGAAGTCCTCTCCTAATTGAGGGTGGAGGGGGCTGGGTGGATTGGGATCACTGGAAAACACAAGACAAACTGGTGGCTCTTGGGTGATGCTTGCACCTACAAGCTTTGTTGGGGGATAGCTGAGCGGCGAGAAGCTGCAAGCGTTCACAAGTCATCCCAGACTATGGTGCTAAGGCTTTAGACATGCTCTGTTGAGTGATGAGTGGTACCACGCATGGATAGGGGATCTGGGGAGTAATGACATGCACACATGACAAATGCACATAGATACATTATATATATATACACACACACTGTGCAAATCTAGGCACATGGAAACAAAGATGTGCATATACAGTATATATTATATGGTGGCATATGAGAGCTTGGGGGTGTATATACCAAATGTCTGTATATACTATATATGGTGTTAAAAGAATGCATATGCATTCATGCTCTCTTTTTTTTTTCTTTTTTTTTCTTTTTCTGTCTCTTCTGTATTGCTGAGGAGCTGTTGCAAAACTACCAGATTCAACCTCCTGGGGAGCCTTTCTGGCCAAGGTTTTACAAGCCAGCACCTGCTTTGCCTGCCTGACTTCTTTCTATATTTATTTCTCTGCACCCGGTTTTTGCCTTTGCCTGCAAATTGGAACTGTCACAAACATTTGTGCTAACTTTTGCCTGCATAGGACTTCAGCTTGCAAGTCCCAAGTCTGCTCCTGTGCACACTGGGGGAGGAGGCATATGTGTGTGTAGTTGTGCATGTGTGCATATGAGCATTCCTGGTCTTCACTGTCTGCATTACATGGTCTGTGTTCCTGTGATACTGCAGCGGTCTCTCTGTTCTGTATGCCATGCAGGTAGTGCTTTCTGCCCCTTCAAGACATTTTTATGAATCACATATTCTCAGTCACCCTGCTAATATAATGTCGTTTAGGTGGAATTAGCCAAGCCTGACCTGGTGCCTGATTGATAACAATCTGTACTGCTCTGCAAGAGGCTTGACTAGGATTCCTAGGCCCCCAAGTTCTTACATTCCCAGGTGAGGACTGTGGCAAGGACAGGGACTTGTCGTGCCATGTAGCAGGGAGCTCCTGGTTAGGCTGCATGTGGCTGGACATGGATGTGTCCATCCCTTTGGTTTCTTTCCTCTGTGTCATTTGGGGTAGAAGGTGCTCTAAAAAAGAGGCATTGAATGCCAGGTCATGCTTAGCCAACACTAATATGAGCAAAGTAGCAAGGGAGAGGGTATAATGGCATTTCCGCTTGGAAACTGAGGGGAGATCTTAATGCTGTCTTGGGGAACATGAAGCTGGGGAAATAGCTGTGTTAAGGGTCTCCCATCAGCAAATGCTGCTCAGAGGAGACGCATGCTTCCCTGCCTGATGGGTACAACTTGCACTTATTCAAAAGCAGTGCTGGGCTGTCTGCCAGGAGCTGAGAAATGGCTTGTCCTCATGTGCTCAGGCCCCTGAGCTCCCAGCCCCTCTAGCAACTGCATTAGTTTCTGGCACAGGAGTCCCTCTAAGGTTACAAAGACATTATTCCCAGGTTTCAACCCCAAGAGCTGTAAAACGTATCCTGCCTGACCCCTGTGCAAAGGCAGAAGCAGCGAGATCTGCGCATGTTCCCCTGGGTTCGGTTTTCACATCCCCACTGCACATGCCACTGCAGCCTGCATTCCTCACCTGTTTGGTAAGCCCTTTGCCTCTCAATCTGACACAGCTAATATTTCCCATGCTGGCAGGGCAGGCAAGGTAGTGGCATTTAACTGTTAAGGAGAAGCTTGATCTATTCATACTGCAGAACCTCAGAGTAGTAAGGCTGGTGCATGCCTGGGATTGGGTTTCTGCTGTTCCAGGTGTTTGTCCTCCATGTTTTAGTTCCCTCTGTTGACTTACATTATTCCCTATTTCATCCCGCTGTTTGTCCTTGCATATTACCAAGCAATACCTTGGTAATTTTTTTCTGCAAGGGGCTTGAAAGCTGAGTCAGAGTTTGTAAAACCTGCACCTACCTGACCCTTCTTACCTTGGTTTTGGAGCATCTTCTGTCATGGGGACTGCAATGCTTAGAGTATCTCCCGTTTCTGACCACAGAGAATGCTCCTGGTGGCCCTGCGGGCAGTTTGGGGTACATGGCTCCGAGGGAGGTTTTAGTGGGTTTTTAGAAAAACAACTGATTAACTGCTCACTGAGAGCTGGTCCCAGCCCCCATTGCATTGATGTTGTCCTGGTGTACCACTTAGTGCCACCTGGGCGGTTTGCTCTTTAAAGCTTTTATAAACACCTTTATAACTACCAGTGCAATGGACATGTGCTGGTGCTGCCTGGCAAGGTTTATTTTTTACAGTGGTAATGGTGGATCACAAAGGTAAATGTGGGTCTTATTCTAAAAAGCATTAAAGTGTGGGGTTTTTGTTTGTTTCTATTTGGTGGGTTTTCTCTCTCCTAAAGCAAGCATTTACATGGTTTTCTATCACCTGTGATACTGGGTGCTAAACTCATGCTGCCATGGGCCGCTGACCTCTGCCTAGTCACTGGATGTAATTGTACAGCCTCTATCACTGAAGGATTTTGGCTCCTCCCAAAGCCTGCACTTCAGTACCAGTGAAAGCCAGATGTACTATAATGTTGCTTTTTTACAGTTTGTTTTGGCCATACATGGGCAGAGTCAGCTCTGGAATTCCTTCCCTATAAATTCAATAGCATCTTGTGGGTGGTGCTGAGGAATCACTCTGGTCTGGTTGGATCGCCTCAGCAGCCTGTTCCCCTTGAAAATGTCCTGATTTGCACATTCCTGAGAGGCTGCCTGCTCCTGGAGCCATGGCTTCAGCTACCAGGAGGCTGTCATCTTATGTTGGCAGGCGTAGCAGTCACCTTCCTGCTGCCTGCAGTTCGGGAGTGGTGGCATGGATATATTGCTCCTGTGTGCAGGCAGACTCTGCAGGGACAGTTGTGCCCTCTAAGCATAACTGTTCTGCCTCCTAAATTTGCCGTATGGGCTTAAGCATTGACCATCAAGCCCCTCTCCTAGGGATGGGGAGGCTGAGTGCTCTCCTGTTCCTGCCTGCCACGGGATGCTGTGTTGTGTGTCCCAGCAGAGATCGAGGACCTCTCCAGTGGCACTGACGGCTGAGCCTTGCCTTCCCTGCTGCCAAGCTGGTATCACGATAAACGCAGCCTGAATTTGCCTGTGCGCCTTCAAAGGGTACTCCAAAAAATAGTTCTAGGAGGTTTTCTGTGGATGAGTGAGGGATGAAAGAATGGTTTGTGGTGGGCAAGGGGTGATGTCTCCTGGAGCTGCCCCTGTTGCATCACCAAGCATCCCATGGACGAGACAGAGATGCACTGTCACCCATAGATCCAGGAGCCTCCAAAGCACAGGTGAAGAAGGTGACATGTAGCCCCATGTCCAGGCTGTGTGTAGGTCAGTAACAGCAATGTGCTCAGTTCAGGCTCAAGAGGGGCATGTGCTCCCTGTGCCAAAGCTAGGGAGAGAAGGATGATTTTTTTTTGACATCCTTTGGAGTTTTGATCTCCATATTTGGAAATGTTTACCCATTGCTCTGATCTATTGCAAGGGAGGGGAGGTGACTCAGGGTCTGGTGGAAGCAGGATTTGAATTCCTGTAGTAAGGTTCTCCCCCCCATACCCCCCCCGCCCTCTCTTGTTTTGGAAGCTTGTTGTGGTCAGTTCTTAGTTCTCTCCTGCTCCTGGACCTTGTTCCAAATTCGATCTGCTCAGGAGGGAAGTGTGTTAGCGAAGGAGCTTGCCTGGATGCTGGTAAGTGCATCAGTGCTGCTTTAGCAAGCAGCTTGGGATTTTTTGTTTTGTTTAGTCAGATGGATTGCATTGAAGTGTGTGCATTGAGGGTGGAGGTAGGCACGTGAATCTCCAGTCAACATCAAGAGACCCTATGAAACCTTCTGTAGCAGGGAAAGTTGGCTTAGTGGATTGATCTCAAACGGAAAATGTTTCTTCAGGCCTAGGTGTAAAGATAATTTAAGCCAGCTCTCATTCAGTCATGCTCTTCCTTTTATTTTCAGTGGTTTATGCAGCAAGGCAGCAGAGCAGTGTAGAGTTAAATGAGTATATATGTGTGTGGTCAGCAAGTGAAATATAGGTTAAATATGACTTCTGTCTCTTAAGCCAGAGTGTGTTTAAAAGGCTGCATAATGCATAGATATATTTCTCTCAAATGTTAATATTTAACTGTTTTGTTAGGGACCTGAAGCAGTTTAGCTGCTGTAACTGGATGAAGGTTCAGTGTCTTGTTTTTTCCTGTTATTCGTTATTTTTCCTTAGTGTGAAGTTTTTAATCTCTGGTATGGCAGCTGGCTGCTTCCCTTATTCCCCCCTCCTTTCTTCCCCCCCCCCCCTCCCCCCCCCATTCTTTCCTTTCTTTTTCCTGAAAGGAAATTGCAGCTTATCCAGGCAGTCAGGGGTGTCGGGGGAACCTGGAAGATGCTCTGCTTCCTGTTTTATTCATGGCAGCTAAAACCAGGCTGGGGAATCTGGAGTGGAGATCCACCATCCCACATTCCTCTTGTCATTTGGAGCATGTAACATGCACAAAGTGCTTTTAACACTGCTCAAGGGGGTGCATAGCAGCCGGTCCTGTGCCTCAGACAGAAAGTAGTGCACTTTGTCCTTTTACTTGGGAACGGGTGTTGATGAAAAACCCTTTATAGTTCCTATTGCTGGTTAGTGATACTTCTATCTTCTCAACTAACTTATGTTTTTAGTCTGATTCAAACCTGCTGTTATCGTACTCTCCTTGTTTTAAATTTAAGACCTTTGTTAGTTAAATCTCTTGTTTTTCTTTTGCCCTTTTAAATAGGGATTAATACTTGGTTTGAGGTTTGGTTTTCCAGAGATGTGAATTTGCAGCAGGTCCTTGAGGAGCAAAACTGGCTTAATTGTTCCAGGCAGGAACAGATACTTGGCTTAGTTTGCACAAGGATGGGGTGTGAGCTGAAAAGTACTCGGCCCCAAAAGATGATGAAGGGACTGCTGGAGCCTGTTCCTGCAGGTGGGACATGTTGGGAGCTTGTAGGCTTTAGCTGCATTTTAATCCTTGTCATTTCAACAAGCTACTTGGATTACTGCAGCTTTTGGGATCAGGGCCCCACTGCAATGGGGTTGATACTGGTGCAAAGGAAAGAACTGCTGTCCTAAAGAGTGTATGACCTGAATAGACAGTGAAGGTGATGGGCTGGAAAACAGGATGCTGGGGAGACGTATGGAGATGTTGCAATACCTGAAGCCTCAGCCCAGCAACTCGCCAGGGAGCAGCCCATTCTGTGTCATGTGTGGTGGTGCCAAGCTGTGACAGGCAGTGAGCTGGCAGTCTGTGTCGCTCCTTGTGTGCTGAGCTTTGCTTTCATGTGTGCACACATGGCCCCACAGGACGGCGATACCTCGTCCTTGCCCAGCACTTCCCCTGCTTGGTTGTGCCCTGGATCAGCCCCTGCTTCTGGTGGTGCATGGATGTGGTGCATCCAGGCTTCGCCAGCTGCTTGTGGCTGAGCTTGGTGCTTCAGAGGCAGCATGGTGGGACTGGAAATGGTGATGTTCTGTTCCCCTTTCAGTTTTCCCTCTTTCCTGCTTGCCAGGACAGACCATTGGAAGACAAGGACAAGCAGTGCCTGAGTGCTGTAACACAGGGCTCTGGGCAGTGCTCATCTGGCATGCCCGGGGAAGCACACTGGGGCCATTAATCCTCACGTGCTGGTCTTTCTCTGTGCAACGTCTCATTGCTGCAAGGACGTGACTTGAGAGCTGAATGGACTGTGAAGGATGAGCTCCCACGTGCTGCCTGTGTGTCCCCTCAACGGGTGCTGGGAGGGCTGTTGGAGGATGGAGAATGTCCACGGCTGGGACTGCAGGCTGCCAAGGCTTTCCATCTGGTATTTCTCAAGGATCTGGGCAGATCCAGTGATCACTGATGCTAACCAGGGTTTACAGTGTATTTTCTTCTGCTCCAGGAACACAGCCATTAAGGGCTGACCTGTAAATTAATACAGCTATCTAAAGATTTTCCCTCCTGCAGCCTGGCACTTGGTAAATGCTCAAGTCTGAGAAACCTTCCATGGCAGTGGACCTCAGGTGTGCTCCATGCCTTCCTTTTTTAAGCTACTCTCAATCACTTCTAATGATGTATTAAATACAGAGGATTTGCTTTAGCTCCCATGTAAGGAGGATTGGTTCTCAGCCCATCCTTCATCCCAGCTGTTACACCAATTGATCCAAGGCTGGTACTGTATGGGATGTGGCAAATTGGTGACACTGTCACTGTGTGTCTCTGGTGCTTTCAGGAATTTACTTGAGGGCTGGGTGTACATGCCCTGCAGCATGTCAGAGAAGCTGCTGCAGATACGTGCAGCACACATAGGCATGGAAGCGATGAAGGCGAGACAAGGTTGTGAGCTTAGATGTCTCTAGACATCTGATACTTCCTATTTCTGTAGGCAAAGCTTTCAGACCCTTTAAACGCTAAATCGTGCCCACAGGCTGGGGAGAGCTTTATTATCCTGGTGTGCGGGCATGGAAACTGAGGCACCATGTGGCAAACTTCGGAAAAGTGCAGGTCTTTTCATTCCACATGACTGCTCATGCTCAGCTCCCACAGACAAGTGCACACTTCACAGCCTCAAGCCAAGTGGTGTTGTTAAACCCATCTCTCTTACTCTAATAAAGTCATATTTTTCTGAACACAAAATATTTCTGAGTTCGTTGCTTAAAGGAAAACAAAGTCATATTGGGTATTTCATAAAGTTGATAGATGTTGCTAGCGTGTGACATGATCCCAACAGGTATCACCATCATTTCCAGATGGCACCTCACCTAATTGTACTGCTGCTTCTTCCTTGGATCTGAATAGTTTAGGCTTTTAAGACAGGTCTGTTGTTATTAGCTTTATAATACACATTCTCCTGTACCAGCTGTTGCAAGCAGCAGGAGGTCTCACTTGCAGCCTAATTCTTCAGTCAACTTAAGGGGGGAATTTGCCTCTGAGAACTAGGTATTTGCATTTGGGATGAGATCTCCCAAATGAGAGAAACTTGTTTGTCTCCAGTGAGTGTGTCGGCTCAAGGACCAGCATGCCCAGGAGGAGGAAAGAAGATTCTTGTTTCTTTACTGCTGTCTTCTAATAGTTAACTGTGCTTATTGCTTGACTTCGTTTTAAAGAAACATCACCTTTTGAAAGCCGGGCTGCCTGTAGTGGGAAGGAAAGAGTCTTTGTGCTGTGCTGTCTCACACCCCTGCTGTGAAAATACCACAAGGACAAGTTCCAGTGAAGCTGCCCGATTTTGGCAGTCACTTCCCTCCTACATCCTTGTTCTTCAGGTAAATCCCTCTCTGGCTCCATTAGTTGTTCCCCTTTCCTCCCCAAAAAGTCATTACCATCCCTTGAAATTAAGGAAAAGACAGGAGGAGGGAATAAATGGATGTTAAGAAGTAGAAAACAATCAATTAAATAGTACATAGCATGTAATTTTCCTTGGAAACTTACCATGAAATTGAGGAGCACTTTAGCAACTAGTAATTTAAATTGCATTTGAACACTGCTAATGGGTTGTTTGCATGGGGATTTCGGTCATTTCACAGCAGGTCATTTCACAGCAGGTCGTTGTCTTTAGTACCCCTTCATTCAGTTAAAAAAAAATAAATAAAAAGATCTGGTAATGAGGAAGATGCTGTAGACAATCGGTCCAACTGTTGCTGGTAAAAGGTGGTACTGTGGAAAATTTGCAAGGTCTTGTTACAGTCTAAGCCATTTACATCCTTAGCATTATCTCTTCCAGTGTTAAATTCTTGGGAGTTGGGCTCTTTTTACCTTAAAAAGCTTGTTATTGCTAAAAGGTAGGAAAATAACATTATCCCAGTCATACTCACGAACACGATGGAGACAGGGTGGTTGAAGAGGCTCCTCCAGGCTCATGTGCTTGGGGTTTGTAGCAGTGGGACTGACCTGGAAAACAGCCTGTGGCTTGTGTCTCTATCATCTCGAATGATTCATAACAATGCTTTGGGATCTCTGTCTCACTCCAGCTGAAGAGGAACAACGGGGAGATGCTGATCAGCTGAAGCTGCAGAGTATTTTTACTTGTTTTTCCAGTGTTTAATGCTCTCCTCCACCACTGTTTTTCTTAGAAAATGCCAATGATTTTCGGCAAAAGGCAGTATCAGCCTAATTGTGTGCTGTTTTGCTGCCGATTATGCTGGGAACAGACTCTATAGGAAGGCAGACGCAAGTTACTTGTTGCCTGTTGCTGAATGAACATCCCGTTTTCAGAGCAGGGTTTTTGCGAATCCGTGGGCATGCTTAGCATATGGAAGGGGGTTCCAGTATCAAAACAAATCTGGCCTTCTGTTTCTGGATGTGTAGGTTGTTTCTTAGAAGATGGAACCTTTAAAATCTGTCCCTGCAAACATGGCTGTTACATCCTGCTATTTCTAGAGACATGAGGCAGCTGTCAGCACTGAGATAAGCTATAAAAAGGCACTATTTTCCAAAAATGGCATTTTTAGCTATACCTGCCAGACAGCTTGGCCAGCAGGAGTTCACCAGGAGTGTCACTGCTGCTGCCCTTTTATGCACAGGGTGCTAAGCAATGTAAAAACTTCTGGGCAACTCTCCAGGGGCGTTGTTAAGCACCAGCTCTTCAATTGCTATCTTGTGAAATGCTGCTATGCAGAAAAGTGCATTCAGTGTGTAGGAGGGGATACTTGTTGGTTTGATTGTTCTTACCCAATCTACTGTTGTTTTCTAGGCGATT